CTCCAGGGAAATCCCTCTATTGATTTTTTAAATTCTGCTGTCTTATTTGTTATTTCCAAGGCACTGTTTTTTGGTTTGTTTGTTTTCTGAATGTTCTTTTAAAAAAAAAACTTCCTGTTTTGTTTTTTTTTTTTTCCACTGATGCAATGGCTTCACTTACCTCTCAGTTATCAAGGGTAGTTTTCTTAAAACAATTACTTTCTTCTCTCAAGATAGTCTTTGATTCCTATCAGAGATGTGGAAGAGATGTTCAGGTTAAGACATCAACAGAGGACATGCTGTTCTTATTTTTTATTTCATATTGTTGCTATGATTTATTTTTGTTATTGTTATTTTTATTCTTTGCCACACTGCACAGTTGCAGAATCTTAGGTTCAATCCCCACCAGGGACTGAAGATGGACCACAGCAGTGAAAGCACCAAGTCCTAACCACTGGGCCACCAGGGAATTCCCACGCTGCTGTTGTTTTATTTATTTACTTTTCTGTATGTTGGAGGCTCTCCTCAGATGTTTGGGGATCTTTGGCTGGCTGCTCATGATTAGAAGAAAAAGGAAAATAAGTCTACGGATGGTATATGTTGAATTAGCTTCACTGTGACTTAAACTTGGTGGCTGTTCGGTAACTCCCTTGTCTGTCAATATCCTCATCTATTTGTTAGATATTTGTTTATTTATTTTTGGCTGTGTCGGGCCTCAGCTGCAGCCCGTGAGATCTTCTGCTGTGGCACGCAGGCTCAAGGGCAGCTTTCTTCAGACAGTTACTTTCTCTTCCCATCATAGTCTCTGATTCCTATGCATTGTTGTTATTTTTTAATTTCTGTAGCTCTGCTCAGCTTGAAGAATCTCAGGTTGTGGCAACCAGGGATCCAACCATCATCTCCTGCATTGGAAGGCAAATTCTTAACCACTAGACCACCAGGGGCGTCCCTGTCAGTATCTTTAGGACTTTCTTCTTGGACTGGTCACAGTCCCCAAGGGCCCTCCAGCTCTCATCTGGAGGGTAGGGGTCTGGCTGCACATTTCTGGGAGCCCAGATGGGGGGAGCATGGGCAGAGTCTCTGCATTCAGCAGTCAGTACCCACTGTTCTGGGACAGTCCTCACATTCACCCCTGTCCCTTGCTTGCCCAGCCCTTACCAAAGCTAAGAATTTGCCAGAATGAGGGAGAGCTAGAGAAGGAAAAGATATCTAAAGATCTGTTGCCTTCAAAGACACCTTCAAATAGTTCTATCTCAGTCTTTTTAACCCTTAGATCTACAAGTGGCTAGCGCTCCCAGTTCCTAAGCATTTGAGAATTCTGTTGTATGAATAAGGGCTGGTTCTCAGCTCTCAGCTGTCTTCAGTCTGCTAAATCAGGTAATACTGGGCATCCTGCTCCCTAGCTAGAAGAGATTCTGTTGCTAGGGCCCCCTTTCCTGTTTTCTCTGTCCTGTGGTTTATGTCTTTAGAAGACTCCTCTTCTGTGGGTTGATGGGCTTCTGGGGGCAGCGTGTCCTCTGTTTATGTCTTAACCTGAAAATCTCTTCCACATCTTTGAGGACACAGCATTGTATGGACTTACCATCATTAACTAATCACCTCTAGTTGGATATGCACCTCATTTCCATCTTTTCTGTGTCAAAAGCAAGGGGCCTGCACATGTCCTAAGAGCTATGTCTTTGCTCATCTGATTCTTTTCTCAGGACAAGCTCACTTGGGAGATGATGATGTGAGTCCACCTAGATCTTTCTCAGTCTGAGATGTGGAGTGAGTGAGCCTGTGTATGTCCGGGGTGTGTGTGTGTGTGTGTGTGTGTGTGTGTCCAGAGCTCCTTAGAGGCTGGCAGGGGAGGAAAGGGGTGTAGATACAGGTGAGTTCAGAATCAGATTCTCTCTAACCGAGTCTGGCACCACCACCCAGAAACCAGATAATCCCAATCTCCAGTCCTTCTTCTGTCACTAACCATCTGCCACTCAACCTTTGAGACTTTGTCTGAAAAGTGAAAATGAAAGTCACTCAGTTACGTCCGACTCTTTGCGACCCCATGGACTGTAGCCTACCAGGTTCCTCTGTCCATGGAATTTTCCAGGCCAGAATACTGGAGGGGGTAGCCCTTCCTTTCTCCTAAGGATGTTCCCAACCCAAGGATCCAGCATGTATAAATTGAGGATAATAATAGCACCTATTTACCATAGCATTCAGTTCAGTTCAGTAGCTCAGTCATGTCTGACTCGCACACCAAGCCTCCCTGTCCATCACCAACTCCCGGAGTTTACTCAAACTCATGTCCATTGAGTCGGTGATGCCATCCAACCATCTCATCCTCTGTCATTCCCTTCTCCTCCAGCCTTCAGTCTTTCCCAGCATCAGGGTTTTTCAAATAAGTCAGTTCTTTGCATCAAGTGGCCAAAGTATTGGAGTTTCAGCTTCAACATCAGTCCTTTCAATGAATATTCAGGGCTGATCTCCTTTAGGATGGACTGGTTGGATCTCCTTGCTGTCCAAGGGACTCTCAAGAGTCTTCTCCAACACCACAGTTCAAAAGCATCCATTCTTCGGCCCTCAGCTTTCCTTATAGTCCAACTCTCACATCCATACATGACTACTGGAAAAAACCATAAACTTGACTAGACAGACCTTTGTTGGCAAAGTGATATCTCTGCTTTTTAATATGCCGTCTAGGTCGGTCATAACTTTTCTTCCAAGGAGTAAGAGTCTTTTAATTTCATGGCTGCAGTCACCATCTGCAGTGATTTTTGAGCCCAAAAAATGAAGTCTCTCACTGTTTCCCCATTTATTTTCCATGAAGTGATGGGACCGGATTCCATGATCTTAGTTTTCTGAATGTTGAGCTTTAAGCCAACTTTTTCACTCTCCTCTTTCACTTTCATCAAGAGGCTCTTTTGTTCTTCTTCACTTTCTGTCATAAGGGTGGTGTCATCTGCATATCTGAGGTTATTGATATTTCTCCTGGCAGTCTTGATTCCAGCTTGTGCTTCTTCCAGCCCAGCATTTCTCATGATGTACTCTACATATAAGTTAAATAAGCAGGATGACAATATACAGCCTTCACATACTCCTTTTCCTATTTGGAACCAGTCTGTTGTTCCATGTCCAGTTCTAACTGTTGCTTCTTGACTTGCATACAGGTTTCTCAAGAGGCAGGTCAGGTGGTTTGGTATTCCCATCTCTTGAAGAATTTTCCACAGTTTGTGGTGATCCACACAGTCAAAGGTTTTGGCATAGTCAATAGCAGAAATAGATGTTTTTCTGGAACTCTCTTGCTTTATCGATAATCCAACGAATGTTGGCAATTTGACCTCTGGTTCCTCTGCCTTTTCTAAAACCAGCTTGAACATCTGGAAGTTCACAGTTCATGTACTGTTGAAACCTGGCTTGGAGAATTTTGAGCATTACTTTACTAGCATGTGAGATGAATGCAATTGTGTGCTGGTTTGAGCATTCTTTGGCATTGCCTTTCTCTGGGATTGGAATGAAAACTGACCTTTTCCAGTCCTGTGGCCACTGCTGAGTTTTCCAAATTTGCTGACATATTAAGTGCAGCACTTTCACAGTATCATCTTTTAGGATCTGAAACAGCTCAACTGGAGTTCCATCACCCCCACTAGCTTTGTTCATAGCAATGATTCCTAAGGCCCACTTGACTTCACATTCCAGGATGTCTGGCTCTAGGTGAGTAATCATACCATCATGATTATCTGGGTCGTGAAAATCACTTTTGTATCGTTATTCTGTGTATTCTTGCCACCTCTTCTTAATATCTTCTGCTTCTGTTAGGTCCCTACCATTTCTGTCCTTTATTGTGCCCATCTTTGCATGAAATGTTCCCTTGCTATCTCTAATTTTCTTGAAGAGATCTCTAGTCATTCCCATTCTATTGTTTTCCTCTATTTCTTTGCACTGATCACTGAAGAAGGCTTTCTTATCTCTCCTTACTAGTCTTTGGAACTCTGCATTCAAATGGGTATATCTTTCCTTTTCTCCTTTGCTTTTCACTTCTCTTCTTTCCACAGCTGTTTGTAAGGCCTCCTCAGACAGCTATTTTGCTTTTTTGCATTTCTTTTTTTGGGGGATGGTCTTGATCCCTGCCTCCTATACAGTGTCATCAACCACCATCCATAGTTCATCAGGCACTCTATCAGATCTAGTCCCTTAAATCTATTTCTTACTTCCACTGTAAGGGATTTGATTTAGGTCATACCTGAATGGTCTAGTGGTTTTTCTTACTTTCTTCAATTTAAGTCTGAATTTGGCAATAAGGAGTTCCTGATCTGAACCACAGTCAGCTCCCGGACTTGTTTTTGCTGACTGTATAGAGCTTCTCCATCTTTGGCTGCAAAGAACAGAATCAATCTGATTTCAGCATTGACCATCTGGTGATGTCCATGTGGTGTAGAGTCTTCTCTTGTGTTGTTGGAAGAGGGTGTTTGCTATGACCAGTGCCTTCTCTTGGCAGAACTCTGTTAGCCTTTGCCCTGCTTCATTCTGTACTCCAAGGCCAAAGTAACCATAGCGTTACTGTGAGGAATTAAAACAGGCTAATATTTGAAAAATATCCAGGGCTCTGTTTAGTGTAACAGATGTTTGCTGAAAGCTTACAGCGTCTGGGCTGCAGGAATTATTAACATAAAAGAGAGCCCAGCACTGGTGCTTAATCAAAGACAATAAAGAACATGGAAACGTTTCAAGCACTTTTCCATCGCTAGGTTGAATATTACATTGCGCTAAGTTGCTTAGTCCATAAATGTTTATGAGGGCTCAGGGTGCGGTGTGCTGTTTTCTTCTTTCCCGCGCGGGTTTAAATTAGCAAGTGCCCCCACGGATCCCCAGAGCCCAGGCACCAGTTTCAGAGCCTGGGCGGGAACTAGTACCTGCAGAACCTTTCTCCCCGCTGGTGCCTCGGCCCGCCCGGCGGGAAATACGTCAAGGACCGCGCCGCGCCGCCGGATGTCGGGCCTTGGTCGCCCCGGTGACGCGCGTGGGGGCCGGGTTCCCTCACCATGAGTGTCCGGGTCGCACGGGCCGCCCGGGCCTGGGCCCGAAGCATGAGCGGCCGCCGCGGCTTCTCGAACTGGCCGCGGCCTCCGCCGGCTGCTGTGGACGTGGCGGCGCTGCTGCGAGAGGCGACCGCGGCGGACGGAGGGTCCCGGGACACGGAGGCGGCGGCGGGACGGCGGGAGCCGGGCCAGTGCTCTGTGCTGCTCTTCCCCGGCCAGGGCAGCCAGGTGGTGGGCATGGGCCGCGGGCTGCTCCGCTACCCGCGCGTCCGCGAGCTTTACGACGCCGCCCGCCGCGTGCTCGGCTACGACCTGCTGGAGCTGAGCTTGCGCGGGCCGCAGGAGGCCCTGGACCGCACCGTGCACTGCCAGCCCGCTGTCTTCGTGGCTTCGCTGGCCGCCGTGGAGAAACTGCATCACCTGCAGCCGGCGGTGAGGCCCCGGGCTCCCCGCGTCCGACTTCGGTTTGGCAGGTCCTTCCTGAGGTCCCACCTGTGCCAGGCGCTGTTGTAGGCGCAAGAGATAAACTGGCGTGAGCAAAACGAGAATCGGTGTTTGCGTATTAGGGCAGGGAGATAGATCAGTTCAGTCGCTCAGTCGTGTCCGACTGTTTGCGACCCCATGGATTGCAGCACGCCAGGCTTCCCTGTTCATGAACTCCCGGAGCTTACTCAAACTCTTGTCCATCGCGTCGGGGATGCCATCCAACCAATCTCATTCTCTGTGGTCTCCCTCCCGCCTTCAATCTTTCCCAGCATCAGGGTCTTTTCCAGTGAGTCCATTCTTCGCATCAGATGGCCAGACCATTGGAGTTTCAGCTTCAGCATCAGTCCTTCCAATGAATATTCAGGGCTGATTTCCTTTAGGATGGACTGGTTGGATCTCCTTGCAGGGAGATAGATAGCAGAGAATAAAATATACTGTGAAAATTGCCTAGTGTGTGAAGGGGGTGAAGGGCCGGGTTTCGATTGTAAGTGATCCTTAATCATTTAATGAATTACTAAACGGTTTTAGAAGGATGAACCTTTATGAAGGGTCGTTGAGAAGATGATGAAAGTATCCCTTCACTTGAAGTTGTGGGATGATTTAATATCAAAACATGTTAAGACAGAGCTTTACCCCATTTCATCCTCACCACAACCTTGTGAGGTTGGTAGCATTATTTTATGGATGGGGAAAGGGGACGGCAGAGATAGTAATTAACTTGAGGGGTCCTGTGAAGTCGTGATAATAACATTCATCCAGTATTTATCCTGGGCCAGGTCTATGCTGAGCGATTTAGAGCTCTTATCTCCATGTAATTCTCTCTTAGCAACCCTGTGGGGGTAGGTCTGCTCTGCCCATTTCACAGATGAGATAACTGAGGCAAGGAGGTTAGGGAACTCTCCCAGGCTGAGCATCAGATCCTGCTCTCTGTGACTCTGAAGGTCATGCGGTTAACTTCTGTACTTAGTGCCCTGTGTCTCCATCGGCCTGAGAGGCAGAAGCAGGAGAATCCAGAGCCCTGGGTTGGAGTCACAGCTTATCCACAGAGTCCAACGGCAGGGTTTGACCTCCACTGCTAGGGAAGTTCCTCATCAGTAAAGGGCTGGTCAGTGATGTTCGAGGCCGCTTCAGTGTGTTGTCCTCCAGCTGGAGCATCAGGCCAGTGGACCCTGGCTCAGTGAGCCACTGGACACCGTCAGCGCGCCAGTGCAGAGCCCCAGACTGAACTCCCCCGAGAATCCGGCCTCATGTTCTTCTGCATCTGTCCCTGCAGGTCACTGAGAACTGTGTTGCTGCTGCTGGGTTCAGTGTGGGAGAATTCGCAGCCCTCGTGTTTGCTGGAGCCATGGAGTTTTCTGAAGGTACACGGGAAGGGGGTTGGTTTCATGCACGGGGTGTTGCCTTGCAGGGCCCGCTGAGGAAAGGGGCACTGCCAGAAACAATTCTGGACCTCCTCAGGGTTAGAGAAGGGGACACATGGGTGGAGATGACAGTGGGATCTGAGGGCCAGACCTCACCTGATTTTATAAGTACCGCGCGCTAACCGATTGCGCCACTGGAGCTCTTTCACCTGATTTTAAGCTTGAACTATTCATCAGGGAATTTCTTTCTCCTTGTAGTCTTGTGAAAGCATCTTGCTTTGCTGTCTGTCCCACTGTTCCTGTGCATTCTTGGTCCACTCGTGGACCTCCAGTGCCTGTCATGTGGTAGATGCTCAGTAGGTACTCATTAAGTGAGAGAGAGTAAATCAGTGTTTGATCTTGAGATTAGTTTCATTTCTTAAGGTTTTTGTGTGTAAACAGGTAAACATTTTGCTTATAGTTAAGTACAAAGGACTTGAATAGACATGTCTCTTAAGATCTACAAAGAACCAAAGAGTATATGACAAGATATGCAATATCACCTTTCATTCAGTTCAGTTCAGTTGCTGTCATGTCCAACTCTTTGCGACCCCATGGACTGCAGCACGCCAGGCTTCCCTGTTCATGAACTCCCGGAGCTTACTCAAACTCAAACTCATGTCCATTGAGTCGGTGATGCCATCCAACCATCTCATCCTCTGTCATCCCCTTCTCCTCTCACTTTCAATCTTTCCCAGCATCACGGTCTTTTCAAATGAGTCAATTCTTCGCATCAGGTGGCCAAAGGATTGGAGTTTCAGCTTCAACATCAGTCCTTCCAATAAATATTCAGGGTTGATTTCCTTCAGGATGGACTGGTTGCATCTCCTTGCTGTCCAAGGGACTCTCAAGAGTCTTCTCGAACACCACAGTTCAAAAGCATCCATTCTTCGGCGCTCAGCTTTCTTTATGGTCCAGCTCTCACACCCATACATGACTACTGGAAAAAACCATAACCTTGACTAGACAGACCTTTGTTGGCAAAGTAGTGTCTTTGCTTTTTAACATGCTGTCTAGATTGGTCATCGCTTTTCTTCCAAGGAGCAAGTGTCTTTTAATTTCATGGCTGCAGTCACCATCTGCAGTGGTTTTGGAGCCCAAGAAAATAAAGTCTCACTGTTTCCACTGTTTCCCCATCTATTTGCCATCAAGTGATGGGACCAGATGCCATGATCTTAGTTTTCTGAATGTTGAGTTTTAAGCCAACTTTTTACTCTCCTTTTTCAGTTTCATGAAGAGGCTCTTTAGTTCTTTCTCGCTTTCTGCTGTAAGTGTGGTGTCATATGCATATCTGAGGTTATTGCTATTTCTCCCGGAAATCTTGATTCCAGCTTGTGCTTCATCCAGCTTGGCATTTTGTATGATGTTCTCTGCATGTGAGTTAAAGAAGCAAGGGGACAATATAAGCCTTGACATACTCTTTTCCCAATTTGGAACCAGTCTGTTGTTCTGTGTCCACTTCTAACTGTTGCTTCCTGACCTGCATACAGATTTCTCAGGAGGCAGGTCAGGTGGTCTGGTATTCCCATTTCTTGAAGAATTTTCCATAGCTTGTTGGAAGGACTAGAGATCCCTTCAAGAAAATTAGAGATACCAAGGGAACATTTTATGCAAAGATGGGCGCAATAAAGGACAGAAATGGTATGGACCTAACAGAAGCAGAAGATATTAAGAAAGGGTGTCAAGAATACACAGAATAACTATATAGAAAAGATCTTCATGACCCAGATAATCATGCTGGTATGATCACTCATCTAGAGCTAGACATTCTGGAATATGAGGTCAAGTGGGCCTTAGGAAGCATCACTATGAGCAAAGCTAGTGGAGGTGATGGAATTCCAGCTGAGCTATTTCAAATCCTGAAAGATGATTCTGTGAAAGTGCTGCAGTCAATATGCCAGCAAATTTGGAAAACTCAGTGGTGGCCACAGGACTGGAAAAGATCAGTTTTCATTCCAGTCCCAAAGAGAGGCAGTGCCAAAGATGCTCAAACTACCACACAGTTGTACTCATCTCACATGCTAGTAAAGTAATGCTTAAAAGTCTCCATGCCAGGCTTTAACAGTATGTGAACCATGAACTTCCAGATGCTCAAGCTGGATTTAGAAGAGGCAGAGGAACCAGAGATCAAATTGCCAACATCCGTTGGATCATTAAAAAAGCAAGAGAGTTCCAAAAAAACAACTACTTCTGTTTTATTGACTATGCCAAAGCCTTTGACTGTGTGTATCACAACAAACTGTGGAAAATTCTTAAAGAGATGGGAATGCCAGACCACCACCCATTAGGGAAATGCAAATCAAAACCATAGTGAGGTACCACTTCATGCCCACCAGGATGGCTTTAATTTAAAAAACAAGAGGAAAATAGTAAGTGTTGGGAAGGATGTAGGAACCTCACACACTGATGAAATATAAAGCAATGCAGCCATTGTGGAAACAGTTTGGTGGGTCCTCAAGTTAAACATGGAATTACTTTGTGACCCAGTAGTTCTGCTCACAGGTCTGTACCTAAGAAATGAAAACACATGTCCACACTGGAAAACTTGTACAGAGATGTTTGTAACAGCGTTCTTCATATTCATTTCCAAAAGGTAGAAATGATCCAAATGTCCATAATCAGATGAGTGGATAAACAAATTGTGGTAGATTGATCCAGTGGAATATTATTCAGCCACAAAAAGAAAGAAAATACTGATGTGGCAGTGTGGATGAACATCAGAAACATGCTAGGTGACAGAAGCCAGACGCAAAACTCACTCACTTTATATGGAGTGTCCGGAATACATAAATTCACAGAGACAACAGACTAGAGGTTACCGTGGGTGGAGGGAAGGGGAAATGGAATGTCCGGGATACACAAATTCACAGAGACAACAGACTAGAGGTTACCGTGGGTGGAGGGAAGGGGAAATGGAATGTCCGGGATACACAAATTCACAGAGACGACAGACTAGAGGTTACAGTGGGTGGAGGGAGGGAGAAATGGAATGTCCGGAATACATAAATTCAGAGACGACAGACTAGAGGTTACCGTGGGTGGAGGGAAGGGGAAATGGAGAGCGATTGCTCGGTGCGGGTGCGGTGTTCTGTGGGCTGATGGGAAGGTGTTTTTGGACGTGCCGGGTCTCTGTTGCTGCACGGGGCCTGTCTCCAGTTGCGGCGCACAGGCTTCTCATGTTGCAGAGCACCGGCTCTGGGCTGTGGGCTCAGTAGCTGCTGCCTACAAGCCTAGCTGCCTGACAGCATGTGGAAGCTTCCCAGACCACGGATTGAACCTGTGTCCCAGCCTTCGCTGGTGGATTCTTCACCACTGGACCACCAGGAAGGTCCTGTACATTCTGGATACCACAAATACCGCTGCATTTGTGCACTTAAAACTGGTTATATTTTATGTGAATTTCACCTCTTTTTTAAAAATGCATTATAGAAAGAAAGCCTGGTCAAGAAAGTGAAAAAATTTTTCATATTTCTTCATCCTAATAAAGATACTTTATAGAAATATAGTTGAATGTGTACAAAATTTGCAGAATTATTGACATGTGTTTTTTCATTTGACAGTTTGCAGTTATTTAATGCCTGCCTGGGAAGGTATCCATGTTTCTGTATATGCTCTCCTGCCTCCTAACACGGGCTCTTAATGTGTTTGCTCCACAGTTCTGCTTGTGTAAGGGGCTAAAACTCCAGCACAGACATACACAGTGCTGGGAGAATGAAGATGTGTTGAGAGAAAGGGTGCAGGGTTTGTTCCTCTGACTTTGTTGTCCCATCAAACCCTGGACTTGTCCCTTAACTGCTTCTTGGTCTGATCATCTCTTCCCCACCAGGGAGCAGGCCCAGGACCAGGGCGATGCTATCCAGTAATTGCAGTCCATTCTTTTTTCTTCAGTTTTTACTGAACTATAGTGAATTTACAATGTTGTGTCAATTTCTGCTCTTCAGTGAAGTGATTCAGCTATACATACATACCTTTTCATCTTCATTTACCTATGGCTTATCACAGGATATTGAGTGTGTCCCCGTGCATCATAGTTGGCGTCTGCGAGTCCCAAACTCTCAGTCCTCCTCTTCCCCACCTCCCCTCACCCTTGGCAGCCACAAGTGGTCTGTTCTCTGTATCTGAGTCTGTTTCTGAGGCATGTTCATTGGTGTTGGGGTTTTTTTAGTTGTTGTTTTCATATTTTATTTATTTATTTTTGGCTGCATCAGCTCTTTGTTATAGCACGTGGGCTTCTCTCTAGTTGTGGCTTAGTTGCCCTGCCGCATGCGGAATGCTAGTTGCCCTACCAGGGTTCAAACCTGCGTCCCTGGCATTGGAAGGCAAATGCTTAACCACTGAATCATCAGAGAAGTCCCCCTGTGTCGTATTTTAGATTCCACGTGTGACTGATACCATATGATACTTGTCTTTCTGACTTACTTCACTTAGCATGGTAGTCTCTAGGTCCATCCATGTTGCCGCAGATCGTTTTATTTCATTCTTTTTAGTGGCTGAGTGGCACTCTATTGTATATATACGCACCACGTCTTCTTTATCCGTTCACCTGTGGACACAGGCTATTTCCGTGTCCTGGCTGTTGTGAATCGTGTTCCTTCCATTCTCACATCACGATCACGGGAGCTGCCTCCCCGGGCACAAAGCCCTGTCCTCCCACTTCACACTTGAGCCACACTGAGCCGGGAGCCCTGCTTTCTAGCTCATCTGCCTTGCCGGTGTCGAGCTCTCCAGTGAGGGCACTCATGCTTGATTTACGATAATTATGTTATTAAAATTCATGTACTTGTTTGTAGTTTGTACATCATTCCAAGCATCTAAAGGTTCTTAATTATTTTCCTTGTTCAGCGCCATTTCTCTGAAATAATTTGTAGTTCTCAGTTTTCACTACAGTTCAGGCAGGCTAGATACTATTATCTTCATTGTACTAGCCAGAAATTTGGCCTGGAAGGAAGTCGTGACTTCCCTTAAGTGATGCAGCTCAAAGTCTCTTCATTTCTACTCTGTGCCAGGGCTTCTCAGCAGCACTATTGACGTTTTGGACCAGATGACCCTTACTTGGAGGCTGTTTATCGTAGGCTGTTGAACCGCATGCCTGGCCTGTGCCCACTAGATGTCAGTGCCCCCCCCCCCCCCCCCCGATGATCAAAAGCTGTTTCCAGACACCGCCCTGGGGGGATCACCGTGTTTAAGAACTGCCGTCCTGCACCAGCCAGCTGTCAGGCAGGCAGCTCTGTGGGTTCATCCATACTGTGCCGGGACTGTGCCTTGCTCCCTGCTGGTTGGGGACCGTCTCTGTGCAATCGGGTCCTTAGAGCGGCGGCTTGCAGGCTGGCGATGGACTCCAGTGCCCGCGTCTGCAGCGCAAAGCGTGCAGTTCACTTTGTTCCTCAGGTCTGGGCTTCCCTTTTCCATCACGTGCCCTGATTTTTCCAAATGTACTTCTCTCCACGTAGGTCTGTATGCAGTGAAAATTCGAGCTGAGGCCATGCAGGAAGCCTCGGAAGCCGTCCCCAGTGGTATGCTTTCCGTCCTTGGCCAGCGTCAGTCCAAGTTCACTGTCGCCTGTCTGGAAGCCCAGGAACACTGCAGGACTCGGGGCATAGAGAACCCCGTGTGCGAGGTGTCCAACTACCTCTTTCCTGACTGCAGGGTGATCTCAGGACACCTGGAGGTTGGTGTTGGCGGGAGCAGCCTTCCTAGAGCCCGGTCCGGTGCAGAAGGTGGAATTACTGCGTACCCGGCGGCCCGCCGAGCCTAGTGGGCGCTTGCTCAGCCCTGGTATTGGGAAGTATCTGAGGGCCGGCGTGTGTGGTGGAGCGAGCGCTCCAGAGAGAGGCTGGGTAGTGTCCCCACTCCGCCACGTGCTCCAGGGATGAGGGAAGACAGGACCCTGGGCAAGCCCCCAGCCCATGTGGAAGGTAAAGGGGCTGAACCGAGTCATCTGCAGGGCCTCTCTGTAATACGCTCTGGCCTCCTCACAGCCTCTCGTCGCCTCGCTTCCTCAGAGGAGCAGCTGTCTCCTGCTGGGTTGCTCTGCCCTGCTCTGCTTTTCCTGAGGTGTCTGTTTTTGTACCCTTTCCTCTGTCCATCCTTCCACCCACTGCCGACATCCTTTCTCGGGTAGAGGACACACAGATCAGCCAGGGATCCTGCCGTCAAAGGAAGGCTGGCTGTGAACGGAAGACTCCAGGTCTCGGGGCACTGTAGGGGTCAGGCTGGCTACCAGATGGCCCAAGGACGTGGCCCCAGGAGGCACTGCACAGAGGGTGGGGTTGCCAAGAGCAGGGGCATCCCAGGCCAGGAGGCGCCCCGAACAGAAGGGGCAGTTCTGTGAGCCCGGCTGGGGCCTGTGGGGTGCGGAAGTCAGGCTGGTGCTGCCCCGTCCTGGCTCAGCTCATCCAGTCCTCAGGGCTGGTCCTGTGTTCTCACCAGGGTGGCTTAGCTGCAGGAAGCTGAGGCAGAGAGGCCAGTGCCCGTGCTGGTGGAGGCGGGAGGAGGGCTCATGTCTGTTCTCCACTCAGCCGTGCTGGGCGCCTCCCCTTGGTAAGGCCTTGCCGGTTGGTGTACAGTGGTCCTTCTCTATCTTCTCTGAATCAGGGAGAGCCAGCGGGTTCCTCCTGGGGCCCTTCTGAGATGACGGGAAGATCAGCTGCGGTGGCCCCAAGTTCGTGACAGAGCTGGCTATTCATTCCCACTAGTAGCCTTAGAAGGAAGCCTGGAATGGGCCAGGAGGGGCAGGCGTCTCCCTCTCGGGCTCCCAGACAGGCGGGCATCCCGTCCAGGTGGCGACTCCCAGGCTTCCCAGATTCAGCCTTTTGGCGCCGCGGGAAGTACTGTAGTAAAGAGCTCGGGTGCAGCAGGCCCCCCGGGCAGCGGAGCTCTTCCCAGCGGTCGATGCGGAGCGGCTTGCCCTCTGCTAGAGCCGGGCCTGGGCTGAGCGCCAGGCACGGGAGCCTCTGGACTCTGGGACTGTGGCCTCGACGCCTGGAACTCGAGTGGAGTGAGTCCAGAGACTTCCCCCAGAAAGACTTAGACCCCAGCCGTGATGCAGGAGGTGCCATTGAGTAGCTGTCTCCATAGGGGCCGGTGATCAGACAGCTGCAGGTGAGGTGGGAAGGGCTTGGGCTGTGGAGTCCACGAGGCCTCTGTGAGACGCACCAGAGGCACATCCTTCGGGGTGATGGAGACGGGTGGAGCGTGGTCCTGGGTGTGAAAGCACCAGGTCAGGCTGGACTCTGCTGCAGTGACAGCCCAGCCCCCTCTGTGTTGCCCACACCCGTACATCACCCTCCGTGACGGTTCGCTGTGCTGGGCTCTGTTCCACGTGGCTTTTGCTCCAGGGCTCAGACAGCTCAGTGACCTTGGTGTGGAATAGACAGACTCGGGGCACAGGCTAGTGACCTCTTATGAGCCACAGGCTGCACCGGCCTTGCCTGGGCACAGGCTGCATTCCTGCAGAGCGGGGCCCACGGAGCGGGCCAAACAAGCACCATCCAACTGAAAATATTAGCCCCATCTCCCCTTTGTGGGCACAGAGAGCTACCCGGCTGTATTTTTTCGTGTTACCAATCCCAGGGCTCGGTAACAAGGCAGTAATTGCTAACCCTTTTGTAGGGCTTGTATGCCAGGCATGGTTGTTATCGCAATCTGAGATAACTATTGTTACCCCATTTTGCAGGTGAGGAAATTGAGGTAGAGATGGAGAAAGCAAAACTTCCCAAGGTCGTTCAGCTCCCATGACTTTCCTTGAGTCTTAGCTGGCCCAGCTTCTGAGCAGGCCATGGGTGGCGTCAGGTTAGAGGGACGCAGCAGACGGTTTAGTGCATAGGAAGCCCTTTGCTGGATCCTGGGGAAGGGCTGTCAGGGTCGTAGGCCTTGGGCTGTGTCCTGAGGGCTCAGGATCTCTTAAAAATATACGCTGTTTCAAAGATACTTGCCAAGTATGTTGGGGTTCTGAGTCTGGGCCTGTTAGTCCCAGAGGAGCCTTTGGGGAGAGACTTCAGGCTGCAGGGAAGGAGACTTTGGTCTTCTCTAGAGAAGCCCCAGATAAGAGCTTTCAGACCCTGGATTGTGAGATGAGACTCGGAGCCTCTTGAATTGTCATCTTGAAGTTTACGGAGTAACAAGGAAACAAGCTTTAACAGTTATGATGAGTAGCAGGATTAGATGGCGCTTTTATTGTGTATCAGATCCTTTCACACCTCCTGTCTGGTCACTTCCCAGCAGTCTATGAAGTAGATGAAATTGTGCTCACTTCACGGATGGAATAAAGGAAGTTCAGAGACTTGCCTGGGGCCACTGAGCCAGTGAGTGACGGAGCTGGGACAGGACTGCATTTCCCGGCCTCAGCTCTCTTTGAGGCCCAGGGTGGTCACCTACCCAGGCGGGGCATGCAAATGGTCAGAGGGGCTTCCGGGACACCGACTTTGCAACTGTGCAGGGTGAAATACACGCGTGGGTGTGTAGAGATACACATATTCTCTACGGAGGACTGATGACGTCGGTCAGTGGTGACCCCCTCGCTGTGTGTTTCTTCCCCTGAGATTCGCTTGGCTTACACCTCCCTTCTCGTTTCTCCCAGGCTCTGCAGTTTCTCCAGAAGAATTCCTCTAAGTATCACTTCAGACGCACCAAGATGTTGCCAGTTAGCGGTGGGTTCCATACCAGCCTCATGGAGCCGGCTGTGGAGCCTCTGGCACAGGTGTTAAAGGCGATTGATGTCAAGAAGCCCCTGGTTTCCGTGCACTCGAACGTCGACGGGAACAAATACATGCATGCCAGACACATCCAGAAACTGCTGGTCCGGCAGCTGGTCTCCCCGGTGAAGTGGGAGCAGACGATGCACGCCATATACCAAAGGAAGAAGGGCACCGCGTTCCCCCGGACGTTCGAGGTGGGGCCCGGGAAGCAGCTGGGCACCATCCTCAAGAGCTGTAACCTGCAGGCCTGGAGGTCCTACAGTCACGTCGAGGTGCTGGAGGCCGATGAGGACCCAGAGCAGCCGCTGTAGTGCCTCCCGCGGACCCTGGTGTGGATGGGCTGTGGCCGAGAAGGACTCGGGCTCCGGGGGGCTGAGCCCAGCCTGGCCTTCCTGTCAGGCCGCCGCCTCCACGTGAGCGGGAGGGTAGTGTGCTTTGAATGCCCTGTGGAAAGCACTAGAAACGAGTGTTTCTTCACACGCCGGTGTCCGTCTCTCCCGCCCTTGAAACATGTCTGAGCGCTGGGAAGCTGCAATGTGCTGGTTCTGTGCAGACCGGTGGGTACCACCCCTGCCTCCTGGGCAGATCACATCGCCTCCCCAGGCCCCAGGCGGCTCCTCCATAGGCAGAAGTGTTCTGAGGCCCGGGAAGGCCTGGCCTGCGGCCGTGTGGGCGCCGTGGGCCATGGCTTGAGGCCAGCACCAGACACCCTCCTCTGCTGGCCCAGCCTCCTCTGGACACGATGCAGCCAAAACCTTAGCGCCTGTGCCCCCTGAATCCAAAGGGCTTTAGGACCCAGCGGGCCTTGGCAGCCATTCTGTCCCCATCACTCAACAGTTGGGAGACGGTACCCCATGTGTTTACTTCCCAACAGAAAGCCTCGAGTGCCTACTGCGTGCCAGAGAGCGAGTGGCCTCTGCCTTGGTGGGGAGGAAGGTCCTTTAGCAAGGCGGGAGCGGCGTGGGGAGGGCAGCTGGGGGCCATGTGTCCTCCCCCACCCCCGCGTCACCCCTTCAACTGCAGTCAGCCTGCCTGCTGTGTGCCCAGGGCCGCGTCCAGCTCGGGCCGCCCTCTGAGGGTATCCTCAGTCTGCTCCACAACGGGAGCACGCGCAGGGGCCTGCTCCTAATGTCAGTATTAAATGCGATCAGTTCTCAACTTCCGGGGTGGCTTTTTCATTACACAGTGATACTGGGAAAATCTCACTGGGGATGAAATGTCTGAGCTCGGGTTTAAACGTGACTGTCATGTAGGTATACGTCAAACCCTGGGTAGGGTGTCTCTTTTTTAATTAATTGAAGTCCAGTTAATCTACACTGTTGTATTAATTTCTGGTGCACAGCAAAGTGATTCAGTTACATATATTAATATATATACATTCTTTTTCATATTCCTTTCCATGATGGTTTAATCACAGGATAACTGAATATCGTTGCTTGTGCTGTACGGTACGATCTTGTGTTTTATCTATTTTATATGCAGTACTTTGTATCTGCGAACCCCAAGCTCCTAAGGGTCTCTCATTTTTAATTTTGTGGTTCTCAACTAGAGTGCTGTTGGTCTTTGAGCAGAACCAGCCTTCACTGTGTGGGATGGTCATGTGCTCGTGGGCTGCTGTCCTGGAGCCTAGTGATTCCATGCCAGTCGCATTTCTGGTCATTGTGACCCCAGACACGCCCACCCATGTCCACAGCCTTCCCACAGCTGAGAATCACTGCCACAGATCCTTGTTTCACCAAGGCCTAGGTTTGCATGCTCTTTGGAGCACAATGAAGAACTATTTCTTCAAACTTTGTTTTATTCAGTTTAGTTCAGTCGCTCAGTCATGTCCAACTCTGTGACCCCATGAATCGCAGCACGCCAGGCCTCCCTGTCCATCACCAGCTCTCGGAGTTTACTCAGACTCATGTCCATTGAGTCAGTGATGCCATCCAACCATCTCATCCTCTGTCATCTCCTTGTCCTCCTGCCTTCAATCTTTCCCAGCATCAGGGTCTTTTCCAATGAATCTGTTCTTCCCATCAGGTGGCCAAAGGATTGAAGTTTCAGCTTCAGCATCAGTCCGTCCAGTGAATATTCAGGACTGATTTCCCTTAGGATGGACTGCTTGGATCTCCTTTGTTTTGTTAGAGAATTTCAGATCTTCACAAAGAACTTTGTTAGTTTGTATTTTATTTATTTTTGGCTGTGCTTGGTCTTCATTGCTGCACAGGCTTTCTCTAGTTGCTGTGAAAGAGGGCTACTCTCTAGTTGGGGTGTGCGGGCTTCTCACTGCGGGGGCTTCTCTTGTTGCGGAGCATGGGCTCGGGAGTTTGGGCATGTGGGATCTTCCCAGATCAGGGATCCTACCCATCTTCTGCACTGGCAGGCGGATTCTTTACCCCTGAGCCCCCAGGGAAGCCCTCGTTACTTTGTGATCAGTTGCTGAGTGTGCTGGGGCCCCCTTGGCTGAGAGCTGTCAGTGACAGGCAGCCTGGGAGACCATGCCATCTCAGCGGTCCAGTCCAGGCGCAGGCATTTGGCTGTGCCTCGGGCAGTTCTGAGGGGCACAGCCCCACGGGTGGGCGGTGGAGGGCAGGCCGTCCAGGCTGCAGGCCTCGCTGCTCCTCCAGGCACAGCTCTTTGTCTCAGGGGCCGCCCAGTAGGAGTCCTGTGGCCAGTGGGTAACCGAATGTCACCCTGCCCTCTGCCTGACAGGGACAAGCCGGCTCTCCCTTTTGGAAACTGGAGAGTCATTTCTGGATTGAGACCGCTTTCAGCTCCTCTGCTCCTATGGAAAGTGCCACATTGGAGCAGCCAGAGCGGGTTTCACTCTGGATCCCAGTCTGATTAGATTGGAGGATCCTAGGGTGATGGAAGTCTGGGCCACCTTGGTCAAGTCCCCTGCCTCTGGGCCTGTTTCCCCCATTGGGGGCTTGTCCAGGCGGACGGGGAGTGAAGTGCTGGCCCTCCACGGCCAGATCTGCATCGGCTCAGAAGGTCAAGTGCCGCGTTGGAGCTAGAGCTGCGGCCGGCAGCTAACCCAGGCCCGGGCTGGCGTGAACTGGGAGACACAGTGAGGCCAACGCTGGCCCTTCTGCCTCCGCGCCCCAGCCCGTCCCCACCCCAGAGTCTTTGTACTGCAGTCCAGCTCCCCCAGCCCCTCCTCGGAGAGGACTCGCCTCACCCTCTGCAGGCCCCAGCGTTTTCTCAGTCCCCCAGTGCCCTCAGCACACGCCAGACAGTACTCTTAGCTGATGAATGTGCATCTTTTCCCTTCCTAAAGAGAATGGGAGATCTGAGGCAGGGATCTCTGCCTTTTTTATATCCCCAGAACCTACACCAGTGGCTGATGTAATGCAGTCGGGGCTCCTGATACCACAGACGGAAAGAATGTTGCAAACCCCAGGACAGGATGACCCTGGCAAACAGTATCCCTGAATTCACGCAGGGAGCAGTCTGCCCAGCTAGCATCAGCCACACCCGGAGGCTCCATACTGTGTTTCCGGTCCTCTCTCCTCTGAGGAGCCCCAAACTCCTTGAAAAGGCATGGGCATCCACATGGGTTACACGGCGGGGTGGGCAGTTTGTCCTGAGAGCTCAAGATGGAACAAGCTGGGAGGACTTCCTGGAAGAGGCACCTCTGGATTTGGCCTTGCCACATCCCTAGCCATTCTACAGTGGGTCCCTGGGCCTAGGAGTCAGTAGGTCACACAGGGTGAGCCCTGGGATCGCTCCCGGGTCTACAAGCTTGGTGGGAATGTGGTACTAGTCTGGACTGGAAAGGGAGCTCTCCAGACAAAGCCGGCTGCACAGATGGGGCATCCCAGCCATTGCCTGGGAACTGGGAGATTCTGGGCTCCACCCCCAGCCCCGCCGTGAGGTTCTCAGGGCCTGACATGGTGACACCTTACAGGAAAGAGAGTGAAGTCCAGTCTCAAAACTGTGGAGGGCCAGACCTTGGGGAGAGTAAGGCCTGGGTGCGAGGCGGTCCCTTCAGTCATGAGGGTTGGAAGGTGTGCGGTGGGGTGGGCAGGGTCTGACCAGCCTGCTAGAAGGTGGGGGGTAGCTGCACCTGCTGGGTCAGCTCCAGGGCCAGATGGGGATGAGTGTAAGACTCACCATCCCTGAGTCCTGGAGGGGGTGGAGGACGAGACTGCAGAAGATGCTGGGGGCCGGGGAATGGAACGGGGATGGGGGAGCTGGAAGGTGGCTCACCCTAGCCCAGGGCTGCACGAGGGGGTGGGGAGAGACAGCACCAGGGGAAAGAGGGCCCGCCTCGCAGGGTCTAGAAACCGCCTCCAGGTCAGGTCTGGGGTGGGCTAAGCCCGAGGGTGCAGGCCCAGCTCCCTGCCCCGGGTGCCCCTGCCCAGCCCCCTCTCTGCACCCCCGCAGGGAGCCCTGGATGAGCAGAGGCGAGGAAGGCAGGCGGCCCAATTGTAAGAGGCACCGACAGCCCAAAGGAAGGAGTCCCTAATGGCCGGCATCGGGCACCAAGGCATGACGAGGGAGCAATCCCGCTCGTGCGGGCCAGGCAGCACGCCAGCCGTGGGAGGTGCAGGAAGGAGCTGGGAGCCGGGCGGTAGCACAGGCGCACTGGTGGCCCGGCACATGCCCTGCCCTCCCCCACACCCCAGCAGCAGGGTGCAGCCCACCGACCCCCAGACAGGACCACAGACTGGCTGGAAAGCAACATTTTATTGAGCTCTCTTCGCCCCGCAGAAATCTATTCCAGCAGATTCTCTGTGCCACGGGCATCCCAGACACGGGGGTGTGACCAGCACTCCCCCCGCCGCCCCCTGTTCGACCAACCCGTGAGAGGGAGGCTCCGTCTCAGGACAGGCCGCCGCAGAGCCGGCTGGGGTTGGGAGAGCAGGTCGTTAACCAGTAACAACCCCAGAGGTATAATAAATTCATTTCTCTTACAAAAAAAAAAACTGGTATGAACCTCAGTGTCCCAGCACTCAGAGTTTAAATATTAAAAAAGAAAAAAAAAAGCATCATCGGAAAACAGTTAAAAGACAACCAAACCAAAAACGGACCACCGCCAGGGTGGTGGTCGAGGGGGAGGGGCCAGCCCCACCCCCACACTGACCAGCTGCTCGGTCAGTGGAGGCGGCACCCCCAGCTGAGCATCGCCACCACCAGCAGGGAAAGCGCCAGCTCGGGCCACAGGCTGGGCGACACCTGTGGGATGAAGGTGGCGACAGGTGAGGACCTCCAGTGGGCAGCAGGCCCACCCATTCAACCCCCCGCCCCGTGGACACGGGGAACCAGCCAGGCGAGGGTGGGAACGGGGATGGTGCGGGGAGTCGTCGGGTAATCTGGGGGCCACAGGAAGGACTGGAGGGGTCTGGGGCGGGGTGACCGGAAAGATGGGAAACACGGGAGAGGCAGGAGCGGACCGTGGCCCCAAGGATGTGGCAGGAGAGGAGGCCAGCCCACTGGGGGCTGCTGGTCTGCTGGGAGGACCGGTGTGATATGGACAGGATGGACTGGGGCTTCTGCTGCACTGGTCGGGAGGGCAGGGGAGGGGTCCGGAAAGCTGCTCGTGGGGACAAGAGGCAACTGTGAGCAGCCAGTCTGCCCGATGAAGGCAATTCCTGGCAGAGGGGGAAAACATAGCCCAGGTGAGGAAGCAGATGCGTGCATCCAGCCCATGAACCACAGCCTCAAACCCAGAGGCCCCTGGGGACCAGGCCGTAGTAGAAGATGGGGGGAGCGGGCAAGACAAGACAGTCGGGAGTGACATCCAGACAGGGCGAGCCCCGCGCAGCTGCTCCAGAGCGGTAACCAGGCGCCGGACGGAAATCAAGGTCAGGAGTTCAAGGCTCGCTTACCCGGTCCCTGAGAGTCAGGAAGCTCCAGAGCCTTCGGCTCTCCCTGAGGTTGGTGAAAGCAGCCATAAGGCTTCTCAGAACATCCCTGAGCCCTACGTGGCTGTAGGGGAAAAACAAGCTGCAAGACAGAAAAGGGGGAAGGGCCGTTAGACAGGAACAGGGGCCAGAGGGGGCCCACAGGTGACCGCTAGGGAGGAGAGGGCCTGTCCCCTCCCACCCACTGTCACCCGGGCCTCTGGTTCTAAATTCACCCCGGTGGGGATCTGGACTTGCGTCCCAGAGGAGCTGTGTTCCGAGAGAGGCCGGGGCCCCTCCGAGGCAGGCTGCCTCCCTGGACACCAAGAGCCCCTGCCAGCTTGCATCCTGGTCTTCGGTAGTCAAGGCTCTCTCCGGTCTCACCCAGGCAAGTCTGCGAGGTTCCGAGAACCCGCAGGGAAGCTGGCAGATGCTGGCAGCTGAGTCCTCCCGCAAGAACCCCCTCCCCCACGCAGAAGGCTCTGCCCGTAAAGCTGGGCACGGAGCTCCATCCCGGCTCCCTGAGCACTTCCTGTCGTCTTCAGTCAAGACCCTGCTGGAAAGGGGCCGTCTCGGCTTGAGGATGGAGGAGAGGGCGAAGGGGCCGTCTCGGCTTGAGGATGGAGGAGAGGAGGGCGCTGGGGTCTGTGGCCCAGGCCAGCTCCAGGGACTAGAGGGCTCTGAGCTCCGGGCTCCCCCGCCATGAGTGGAGCCGCAGGGGCCAGCCCTGGTCTACAGGCGGCCTGGGCCCGCGGGGGCTTGGCACCTGTGCGTGGTCATCCAGAAGGGTTCATCGAACTGGGGCAGCAGCAACCTCAGCTCCATCTCGTCGGCAATGGAGGCCAGCTGCATGGCCAGGTAGTGTGGACTGTCACTGCGGAGGCAAGGAAAGGGACCTGGGGGGGTTGGGCTGGTGACCCCGTGCCCCCAGACCCCGAGATCCACCCCCAGACCCACCAGGGTGGGCGCAGGGAACCCTCACCCGCCCCCGCCTCTGGCTTCTACTTTGCTTCAGAAGAAGCCGGGGAGGTCCCATCCCCAGGGGGCTCCCTGGAGCACAGGTGCTGGACCCTGGGGAGGGGGCTGCCCCGGTGGAGCCGGCCCCCTGCCCCCCAGCTTGTGGGAGGGCAGAGAGGTACTCAGTGCCTGGGGCAGCAGTTAGCCTCCCTCCCCCCAAGGTAATCCGAGCGCCCCAGAGAGCGCAGGGAGGAGCTCTGGGAGTGTTCCGGTGGGGCCCACCCGTGATGTCACCACCCCTTCTGAGAAAGGAGGGGCTACCTGGCCCTCCCCCACCACTGACTCCCTAATGGAAACGGAGATGCTCACATTCACACCCTGGGCACGGGCCGGCTTCAGCCTTGCTCCCGGGGGGCTGCCCACATTCCAACCCGGTGACTCGGCTGGAAATTCCCCGGACTCCAAGTCTCTCCCAGCCTAGCCCCGGCCACCTGCCCAGTCTGGGCGGGGGTGGGGCGTGGGGTGGGGAGGCGGGAACGGTGACGCTAGGGAGGGCTGGCGGGCAATCAGGTGGCAGGCTGAAGTCAGGGCAACACTGCCCCCAACTCCATCTACAGGGAGGGGAAGGGGGCTTCCAAGTCCCTCCATCCCTAAGATCCAGACCAGCCCCAAGCCCAAGGCCAAGGCCTAACGGCTAAGGGTTTTCTGAGGCCTGAAGTGGGAGGGAAGCCTCTAGGACCCTGACACTGACGCTGGGACAGTCTCCTCCTCCTTGCCTAGAATGCCAGGGTCGGGAACTGCATCTGAAGCCACCTCCTTCTGGTTCTCTAAAGCCAAATCCATCTTTTATGAGGCCTTGACGTGACTGTGGTCAGAAGGGCCAGGAGGCACTCCGTCAAGGCCACGAGCTTGAGTCATTCTGATGGCCAGCACCGCACGGCGGTCCTGGGACTGACTATGCTGGAAGTTCAGAGGGGTTCCTCTATGAGCAGCTCCGCCCAGGGCGCTTGCCTCCGTGATCACACCTGGGGAATTTCCACTCCGCAGCCCGGCCCGGAGAACGCAGAGGACTCTGCTAACCGCCTGCCACAGTCATTGACCAGGAACGGGGGTGGGCCAGGCCCAGAGGCTTCTGGGACCTACCTGTGGGGGGAGACGGGGTGGAACTCCAAGATACTGGTCACGCCGGGGAGCCCTGAGTCTTGGTCTTCCAGGAAGCCTGGGCCATGGTTTTGTAGGAAGGTGTACAAAAAGAGGTTCCTAGAGAGGGGTCTTGCTTGATACATTTCTTCTCTGGAAAAAAAAAGACAAGGACTGGATGCTCAGAAGTGTGCGATCTGGGGTATCACTTACTAGTCATCTTCCCTCTACCCCAGCTGCCCCCGGCATGAATTCTGCTGTGTGCCTCTGGGAGGGTCACCATGCCTCTCTGTTCTCTCTCATCCACCTCTCAGGGATTTGGAGAAGATTTATAAGGGGTCTTGCCTTCTTCCTTTGTGAAAAGAGAATCAGGGACTTCTCCCCTGGTGGTCCAGTGGTTAGGACTTGATACTTTCACTGCCACGGCCCGGGGTTCAATTCTTGGTCGGGGAACTAAGATCCTGCAAGTCATATGGTGTGGCCACCCCAAAAAGAGGAAATTGGACTATAAATGCAAGGCTCTGATGCTGTCCCCAAGAGGCTTATAGTCAAACAAAAAACTCCACATGTCTGGTGTCATAGTGGACTAAGGCTGGGTTCCATCCAGAGTGCCAATTCCTTGGGTTCTGCCAGCTTCCTACTGCTACTCTCCCTAAGCAGAAAGAGGCAAATATCATAGGCTAAGCAAGGAAAAGTCATTCACAATCCCAACTGCCAGAGAGATAGTGTCAGTTTTTAAACACATGCACAGCATAGCACACACATTTTCAAAACCGGGATCACTCCTAGGGGTGGGGTTGGATGAACTGGGAGATTGAGATTGACGTATATCAAAGCCGTGGTTTTTCCAGTTGTTACGTATGGAGGTGAGAGCTGGACTGTAAAGAAGGCTGAGAGCCGAAGAACAGATGCTTCTGAACTGTGATGCTGGAGCAGACTCTTGAGAGTCCCTAGGACTGCAAGGAGATCAACCAGTCAATCCTAAAGGAAATCAACCCTGAATATTCATTGGAAGGACTGATGCTGAAACTCCAATGCTTTGGCCACCTGATGCAAAGAACTGATTCATTGGAAAAGACCATGATGCTGGGAAAGATTGAAGACAGGAGGAGAAGGGGATGACAGAGGATGAGATGGTTGGATGGCATCACTGACTCAATGGACATGAGTTTGAGCAAACTCTGGGAGATGGTGAAGGACAGGGAAGCCTGGCGTGCAGCAGGTCCATGGGGTCACAAAGAGTTGGACACCACTTGGCAACTGAACAACAACAAAATGCATAAACAGCTAACTAATGAGAACCTAAAAAAAAAATGGGATCACTCCTTCCCCAGTATTTTATAACCTCCTTTCTCCACTCGACTGTCTCACCTCTCCACTCCCCGGGCTCCTTGCTGATAGAACTAGCTTTCACTGGGGCGGCCCTGACGCGTGTCACCTACGCCACTTCTAATACTTTTGTTCTCACTTTCCCCAGCATGCCTTGCAGCTAGTGGTGGGCCTGTAACCCACTTCCGGTCAACAAGGTCTCAGAGTCTGACCTGGGGGTTGAAAGGGAGCAGACACGGACTGGGCAGCTGTTTACATCATCACGTGTGACAGCTGGTTAGGCCTATGATGGTTCTCACCAGAATTTACCCCACGCAGTATCAAACAGCCTTCGCTCCAGAACACAATGAAGAACCAAAGGGCCCGAGTTCAAATCCCAGCTCTTCCACTCAGGAGCTGTGTGATGTCACAGTTTTCTCATCTGTAAGGTGTCCGGAGCCCCCCCACTAGGCTGCTGGGGGATGAAGGAACCTCCTTTAAGTGTCAAAACATTTTTGAAAACATTGATTCATTTATTTGGCTCGGTGTTGGGTCTCGGTGTATCATGTGGGATCTTTCATTCCGGTGCTCTGACTGTCTAGTTGTAACGTGCCCGTTTAGTTGCTCCAAGGTATGTAGAATCTTAGTTCCCCGAGCAGGGAATGAACCTCCATCCCCTGCACCGCAAGACAGACTCTTAACCGCTGGACCACCAGGGGCGTCCCGAGTACTAATACTTTGAGCAGAGCCTGGTGGGGAGCAGCAGTTGTGACCTCTGGACCTCACTGCATTATTCTTTCAATAATAATTAATGGTAGGGACCTCCCTGGAGTCCCGTGGCTAGGACTCTGTGCTTCCACTGCAGGGGGCACCAGTTCCACTGCTGGTCAGGGAACCAAGATCCCACATGCCATGGATGTGGCACCCCCCCAAAAAAAATTAATTGTGTCAGTAATCGACTGGTTCACACCCAGGCCTCCTGCTCCCCAGGCCAGGGTGGACCAGTGTTCACTCCTGACTGCGGCTAAGAGGCAGAGCTACACTCAGCGTACCACGTGCTTCCCGTGGCAAAGGGTGACGGCTGGAAACGCAAAGAGCGCAGGGGCTCGTGGGCCGGCAGGTAAGCTTCCTGGGTCCTCCAGGTGTCGCCGGGCGAGTCTAGACAAGTCATTCTCAACAATGCAACCAAACTGCACGCAAAGATGGACATGACATCATCGGATGGCGCAGACAGGTATCTGGGTGTCTGGGGCACCCTGGCCTTTGAGAAAGAAATCGCATAAGGACAGCATTGTTCCACAGAGAATACATGGCCAGAGTCTGCATCAAAGGGAGCAGGCTGCTTCAGTCTCCTAGGAGAGAAACAGTTTTACATCTGTTCCAGATGAAAGCCCGACGTGAAAGGCATGTCGCGGGCACTGGGGCTGGAGAGAGCTGACGTGTAAACACAGCCACAGGGGCCACAAAAGAGCCCCGGCCTGACATATGCCAGCCGCACCTGTCAGGACAGCCCCTTCCCCCATGGGCTGAAAGGCGCTGTCAGGTCAGACCAGGTGGGTGGAGCCAGCAGGGTGGCCCCTGGCACCCAAGGCGGGGCGAGGGGAGGGGTGCAGCCACCTGCTGGGGGCACCTGAGGGCAAAGTGTTAAAAGCAGGCTGCCCCCGCCGCCAGCCACCCCAGCCCAAGCCCGCTGCAAGCCAGCAGGCCAGCACACACAGACGGGGGGTCCCGGGGGCTTTTCTAAGACCCCTAAAAGGCTGTTAGCAACACAGATGCCCAGCACAGGTACCATTCGGGGCCTAAATCTTCACCCATTTGTTCTGGGGTCTATCAGTTAAAAGCTATGAGGAGAGTCTCGATCCACCTGCCATACTGCCCGAAAGAGTAGATGACATAACTAGTAAGGTTTGCAGCCACTTTTGTAGCCAGGGATGACTTATCCCTTCCCCTTATGATTAGAGGATGCTGAACTAGGGTCACAAATCCTGCTCCCCAGTCAGCCCCCCTGGAAGGAGGGGCATTGACACCATGGTCAGGGAGGGGAGTGGACTTCAGTTAGATTTATAGGGAAAATGGTAAATGAGACTTTTTTTTTCAGGCTTCCCTGGTAGCTCAGTGGTAAAGAACCTGCCTGCCAATGCAGCAGACTCAGGTTTGATCCCTGGATAGGGAAGACACTCTGAAGAAGGAAATGGCAACCCACTCCAGTAGCCTTGCCTGGGAAATGCCATGGACAGAGGAGCTTGGCGGGCTACAGTCCATGGGGTCGCAAAAGAGTTGGACACAACTTACTAAAGAATGATAACAACAAACTTCTTCTTTCTTTCTTTTTTGGGCCATGGAGTCTTAACCACTGGACTGCCTGGGAAGTCCTGTAAATGAGTCTTAACAAGCTAGATCAACACAGAAAAATCAAGAGCATTCCTACAAGACTACCTGAAACTATTGTAGACAGTAAATACAACTGTGGAAATATAAGGTTTCTGATCAGGAAATATGAGGTTTTTTTTTTAATCTAAGAAAGGGTGTTTAAAATCTGTATAGACAAGAACTTCCCGGCGATCCAGTGGTTGAGACTCCCAGCTTCCACTGCAGGGGTCACGGGTTCCATCCCTGGTTGGGTAATTAGGATCCCTCATACTGTGCAATGTGGGGGGGTGACCCCCCCAAAAATGCCTTTATGGATAAATACAAATTCCATTAAAGGACTTAAAAGATCCAGATAAATGGAGACAGGCTTTAACATTAAACAGGCTCTAAGCCCAGTGAACTTGACCTCGTGCTAGGCGGGCACTTCAGGAACTTGGACCAGGAGCTCTCGCTGCCCTCAGGCACCAGGCCACAGAGTGTCTATGCAAATGGCCATTTTCCAGGGAAAGCTGCCCCAGCCCTCATTTGCATCTGTCTCCCTGCTCCCTTACCCCCGACTCCCCCTCCAAGCCCCTCTGCATGGCGCTGTTCCCTTTCCAGAGATGGCTTGTGCCCCCATGGACACCCTTGCCCCACTGGTAAGGGGTCGCCAGGGGACTTCACTGGGCACGTGGCCTGAGCTTCACCTTGACCCACTATCCCAACATCCCTCGGTTCCCAGTAGACGTGCCTAGAATCCTTGGGCACCTTGGGTACCAAAGGATGAGGGTCCCTGAGTCCTACGGGGCCGGTGCCTGACCTGGGACAGTGAGGACTGGCAGCTCGGGCGTGAGGCCTGCACTGCATGTTAGCAGTTCCAGCGGTGCCTCCCCAACTGGACTCAGCTGTCGGGGGGCAGGGCCTGCCCCTTCTGCACCTTCCTGTGGGTCCCCAGACCCTTCTGGACCTCTCTGATCAGAGCTGGCCTGGGCTAGACAGCAGACTCCCCTCTTCCCTTGATTATCATCTGAGCCCTGCCCTGATGCTCTAAAACAGGCAGGAGGATGTTGAATTGATGTCCTAACCAACCACTCACTTGCAGTGAGATCTTGGGCAAGACCCTCAGTTTCCTTATCTGCTCAATGGGCATAATAGTCCCACGCTAATAGGGTTCCTTTTCCAGGCAAGAACCAGCACTAGAGACTTCCCTGGGGGTCCAGTGGCTAAGACTCTGCACTCCCAACGCAAGGGGCCCAGGTTCGATCACTGGTCAGGGGATTAAAGATTCCACATGCCACAAGTAAGACCCAGTGCAGCCAAATAAAGAGTATTTTCTTTAAAAAAAGAACCGGCACTGTCTTATAATCCTGGCTGATGTTTAGGTATCAATTATTGTCAAGTATTGATTTAAGCCCTGTATGTGGATGAAAATGCTCACCACTTAACCCTGTATCTATTCATAAGGGAAGTGAAGAAATTCAAGTCCTAAGCCTTCT